ACAAAAACTACTTATAATCGAGTTACTTCTTGATTTACAGTATAAACAATGTGACCTGTACACCGCCTATTTAGGGAGGACATTTCCCAATCTTCAAGCATGTTGAAGTCACTATATACAATGTGACCTGTACACCGCCCATTTGGGGAGAACGTTTCCCAATAATCAAGCACGTTGAAGTCACTATAAACAATGTGATCTGTACACCGCCTATTTAGGGAGGACATTGCCCAATAATCAAGCATGTTGAAGGCACTATAAACAATGTGACCTGTACATCGCCTATTTAGGGCGGACATTTCCCAATCTTCAAGCATGTTGAAGTCACTATATACAATGTGACCTGTACACCGCCTATTTAGGGAGGACATTTCCCAATAATCAAGCATGTTGAAGGCACTATAAACAATGTGACCTGTACACCGCCCATTTGGGAGTACATTTCCCAATCTTCAAGCATGTTGAAGTCACTATATACAATGTGACCTGTACACCGCCCATTTGGGGAGAACATTTCCCAAAAATCAAGCATGTTGAAGTCACTATAAACAATGTGACCTGTACACCGCCTATTTAGGGAGGACATTGCCCAATAATCAAGCATGTTGAAGTCACTATAAACAATGTGACCTGTACACCGCCTATTTAGGGAGGACATTGCCCAATAATCAAGCATGTTGAAGGCACTATAAACAATGTGACCTGTACACCGCCCATTTGGGGAGGACATTGCCCAATAATCAAATCAAGCATGTTGAAGTCACTATAAACAATGTGACCTGTACACCGCCTATTTAGGGAGGACATTGCCCAATAATCAAGCATGTTGAAGTCACTATAAACAATGTGACCTGTACACCGCCTATTTAGGGAGGACATTGTCCAATAATCAAGCATGTTGAAGTCACTATAAACAATGTGACCTGTACACCGCCTATTTAGGGAGGACATTGCCCAATAATCAAGCATGTTGAAGTCACTATAAACAATGTGACCTGTACACCGCTCATTTGGGGAGGACATTTCCCAAAAATCAAGCATGTTGAAGTAACTATAAACAATGTGACCTGTACACCGCCCATTTAGGGAGGACATTTCCCAATCTTCAAGCATGTTGAAGGCACTATAAACAATGTGACCTGTAGACCGCCTATTTAGGGAGGACATTGCCCAATAATCAAGCATGTTGAAGTAACTATAAACAATGTGACCTGTACACCGCCTATTTAGGGAGGACATTTCCCAATCTTCAAGCATGTTGAAGGCACTATATACAATGTGATCTGTACACCGCCCGTTTAGGGAGGACATTTCCCAAAAATCCAGCATGTTGAAGTCACTATATGCAATGTGACCTGTACACCGCCCATTTGGGGAGGACATTGCCCAAAAATCAAGCATGTTGAAGGCACTATATACAATGTGATCTATACACCGCCCATTTGGGGAGGACATTTCCCAAAACTCAAGCATGTTGAAGTCACTATAAACAATGTGACCTGTACACCGCCCATTTGGGGAGGACATTGCTAAAAAATCAAGCATGTTGAAGGCACTATATACAATGTGATCTGTACACCGCCCATTTAGGGAGGACATTTCCCCAAATCCAGCATGTTGAAGTCACTATATACAATGTGACCTGTACACCGCCCATTTGGGGAGGACATTGTCCAAAAATCAAGCATGTTGAAGTCACTATATACAATATGATCGGTACACCGCCTATTTAGGGAGGACATTGCCCAGTAATCAAGCATGTTGAAGTCACTATAAACAATGTGACCTGTACACCGCCTATTTAGGGAGGACATTTCCCAATCTTCAAGCGTGTTGAAGTCACTATATACAATGTGATCTGTACACTGCCCATTTGGGAGTACATTTCCCAATCTTAAAGCACGTTGAAGTCACTATATACAATGTGACCTGTACACCGCCCATTTGGAGAGAACATTTCCCAAAAATCAAGCATGTTGAAGTCACTATATACAATGTGACCTGTACACCGCCCATTTGGGGAGAGCATTTCCCAAAAATCAAGCATGTTGAAGGCACTATATACAATGTGATCTGTACTTCGCCCATTTAGGGAGGACATTTCCCAAAAATCAAGCATGTTGAAGTCACTATATACAATGTGACCTGTACACCGCCCATTTGGGGAGGACATTGCCCAAAAATCAAGCATGTTGAAGTCACTATATACAATGTGATCCGTACACCGCCTATTTAGGGAGGACATTGCCCAATAATCAAGCATGTTGAAGTCACTATAAACAATGTGACCTGTACACCGCCTATTTAGGGAGGACATTTCCCAATCTTCAAGTACGTTAAAAGTCACTATATACAATGTGACCTGTACACCGCCCATTTGGGGAGGATATTTCCCCCAAATCAAGCATGTTGAAGGCACTATAAACAATGTGACCTGTACACCGCCCATTTGGGGAGGACATTGCCCAATATTCAAGCATGTTGAAGTCACTATATACAATGTGACCTGTACGCCGCCCATTTAGGGAGGACATTTCCCAATCTTCAAGCACGTTGAAGTCACTATATACAATGTGACCTGTACACCGCCCATTTGGGGAGGATATTTCCCCCAAATCAAGCATGTTGAAGTCACTATATACAATGTGACCTGTACACCGCCCATTTAGGGAGGACATTGTCCAATAATCAAGCATGATGACATCACTACAATTTAAATAATGTGCCCATACGCCGCCCATTTTGGGGGCGGTAGGATTTTCTTGAGGGTATTGGTTGTTTGTGTTTTTAGGTGCTATATCAGCGGTATGTATGTTTTAGGAACCTTTGATTTCTTTTCACACATGATTTCCAAATAACTCAATACATTTAATCGGAGTAGTTCTACCCTTTTCGTCTCGTATGTTACAACTTGAAATGAGAAGACAATACCAAAAAACGTCCGTAACGAAACATAACGTTAGAAAAACAACTCATCCTTTGAAAAACGACATACTGTTGTTTGGGAGGTTTTCAAATAGAGGAAAATCCATTTTACACCAGCAGCCATTTGTATTTCCGATTGCAATTTACAATGTTTACCACAAAACAAGTCAAAAGTATAAACAATTATCTTTTTCCTAATGTGATTTATGCATATAAATTGTTTATGATAACTATTTTGATTAAATTATTTTTCTTTTTGACGCGTTTCTATCCAGTCTTTCGGAGCGACCGTATTTCGCACGCTCTCTGTACATAAATACTTCTTTCGTCTTTCCGGTGGTTTTTTGAAATAAATATCTGATTGTATGCAGGGCATTTAACGATGATTAATGATGATTTCCTCCAGCGAGTGTACTGCTGTTCAATTATGACAGAAATATGAAATCCTTCAGAAAATAATAAGCTGAGTCCTTTTCGTGTTAATTGCATCTTGGGCTTAAATCTGTGATAGGAGTACAATTTGTTGGACATATAAGTAATATTTCATGCCATTGCTTAATAATAGCAAACACTTTGGTGTGTGTGTGGTTGTGTGTTATTATTTTGTCCATAATTTACCACAAAATATTTCATTTCCGGAAATTCAGGACAACTGATTTCACTGTGTGGGTGGTCTATCACGTCATCAGCATAAGAAGTTACGTATTGTCTCCATCAAGGTCAAATTTAATTCGATAATTTGATTTTACTTAAACTGAAATGTAAAATGCGCAAAAACAAACCATTCATAATACATAAACTTCTAGATTTTATGAGTTGCGATATCTCCCGAAAATATAATTGTTCTGTATCGTAATACCTGTTGGTCAGGATCTTGTTATTGTGAAAACCTCAACTTTGTGATGGACCCGTGAAGATCCATTAGAGGTGATCTTCAGTTACCCATGCTTGTCGTAAGAGGCGACTAACGGGATGGGGTGGTCAGGGTTGGCTGACACATGCCATCGGTTCCCAATTGCGTAGATCGATGTTCACGATATTGATCACTGGATTGTTAGGTCCAGACGTGATTATTTACAAGCCGCCGCCATATAGCTGGAATATTGCTGAGTGTGGCGTAAAAATAAACTCACTCACCCATTGACTCACTCACTCACACGTTTTTGATGATCACCTTCAGGGACCATAATACAGAGCACAATTAACTGTCATTAAACGATTCGCCAAACTGAAAATTGGTAAATCTGGATTATTTCGGTTAGCACTAACCGTCCTGATTAGTGAGGTTCCAATGGAGTGAGGTTCCTAGGGGCGGTGGGATAGCCTAGTGGTTCGCTCGTCACGTCGAAGACCCGGGTTCGATTGCCCACATGGGTACAATGTGTGAAGCCCATTTCTGGTGTCCCCCGCCGTGATATTGCTGGAATATTGCTAAAAACGGCGTTAAATAAAATTCTGTTTTAAGAAAATATGAAATTTTACAACTTCAATTCGTATATTTTCAGAAAAAAAGGATTCCTGAGGTCATGGAAAAAGGACAGATCGTTACCCACGCAAAGAGCGACAGCAGTCGCGTTGTCCTTAATAACAGAGTATATGAAAATATCTCCAACACAACAGTTGGCACTTCGGCAACTGAGATTGAGAACCATTCCTCAAGTACAATTACAAAGCGGAAAAACCTTCGAATTGAGTCAGGCCAAGATGCTCTGGTGCCACGACAATATCGGAATGTAAACCAGCGAGAACAAATTCTTTTTAACACGCTGGAAAAGCATCTGTCCAGACAACAACAATCTGCGCTGCAGAGCCAAGATCACTCCATGCAGAAATACAGACAGCGCCTTGCCGGATACGAGCGTCTGCGCATGCCCGCGGATGAATCGATAAATGGGAGTTGTGTTGGTGCGTCCAGTGGCAGCGAGGTAGTGATAGGTAGTGAACGGCGCTCCGGGAGCAAAACAATCTCGGCGAAATCAACACATCCGTTGATATCGACGTATGCTGCGAAACACGGCGACCAATCAATAGCCGCCGTTGATGTAAACACTGAAAAGGAGGCTGGGCTTGAAGTTATGACCAACGCTCCTGCTGAGAGGACGCCGAGTGTATTTAACACAGCCATCTCGACACGGGCTAGTCAGTTGAACCCAAACGGTCGTACTAACGAGTTTGGTGGAAGAAGCGTGCCGCACATCTTTAGAGGGAAATTACCGAATCACAAAAAGTCCAAGTCGTTCCGTACTTTGGAGTCAGTTGTAAAGAAGATCAACTTGCAGAAGAAGATTGGTCTGAAAATCAGCATGCTCCGAGCACCAGATTCATCCGGTAGCACGTCAACAGATTCCAACCTGTTGACTGTGGATGACAACAGCATGAGACCTAGAGCTTACACAGACCCGACATCCGACGGCAAGGGGAAGATGGCAATTAAGCTTCCCGAGATTACCATTGAAGACTGTTCGGACCCTGAGGACAAGATGAACAGTGAGGTGGAGATGTTCTCCGATTTGTCCCCTCCACGCCGGAGGGCCAACACGTGTCCGGAAGAGTTCTTCAACAGACGACGAAAGGGGAGGCCTCCAACACCCCCTCCAACATCCCGAAACGGCAGCCCTACCAACAAATTCACTTTCGGGAACGTGAGGAGTCCCAGCAAAAGTCCCGTGTCATTCGTGCACCATAAACTGAGCAAAGTGTCTGAAGATGGCGGTGAAGCGCCTAATGACAGGAACGTGTCAACAAAGTCGTCTGCTCGTATGAGTAAGCAGACGATCGCCAACAGACGGAGTTCCTTCAACACCATGGCTAGCCTTAGGGCAGGTCTTGCCTCCAAATTAACACTGATTGAATCTGAGGACGAAATGAGGACGGAAAAGGGGCAGTTTGCTGTTGCAAAGCCCGAAGCTTCGAGGGCAAGTGACAATAACAAGATTTCGGGATATATGCCTCAGGGTCAGGATGTGACAGACGTATACGCAAAGGATTGTCGCTTCTCTCAGAAAATATCCCCAACGTTGGACGGGAAACCCTTGCAAGCTTGTTAGCGCCACTTTCTCCATAATATTCAGGTGTCCATATTATTCCCCCTCGCAGCATCTAATGGCACAGACTTACAGAGGGCCATGTGTCTTCGTGGACAAATTGACCGATGACCATTATGACAAATGATATATCAACGGTCGGTGACAATTACACAGCTGTTGACCATGTTACAATCAACACCTGTTAATATTTGGAATGGAAAAGACTTGCAAATGGAAGTACGATGTTATTCTGTCGGTGAGTGTAATGACTTGAAAACACTTACAGTTGTACATATTTGTAAATACCACTGTTCATAATTCCTTTCTGAGACATTCTATATGTGACTGTGATATTTCACTTCATAAGCAATATTTCCTCATAAGCTATTTCGTTTTGAACATTCATAACGCTTTTCCCTCAAATCTCATGTATCAACTAATGAACGCTTTCAGTTCTGTTTGATGAGTCTGTGGTCACTTATCACTTCATTAGGTTTTGGTCTGGGGTATTAGCACTGAATTGTAACACCGTTGGGGATATTTCAATAGACGTTGCTATGGAAACAAACACTATCTCCGCCAATTCATATCACTCCCAGGGCTTTTCGGGATGAGGATTATAGGTTGTTGAGTACGGGCTGTTTTTTTGTGAAAGTAGGTCAGCTAAAGCTCAAGGGCACTTTTGCGAATATGTTTCAACCTTGCGCAAAGCGAAACAACAAATGATCATTTTCTCATAATCTGTTCTCCACAGACAGGAATAATTCGTCAATTTATAAATCACCTTAACTATTTAATTAACCGTTATTACATATGTCCCCTTAGTTCCATTTATCCCGAAACCTGATACAGACATATGTTGGGCCCAGGTTGATGTGGGAGATTAGCTGTACGTGTGTTTGTCGATAACAAGATGTGGGGTAGCTTCGTGGTTAATGCGTTTGCACTTCACGTCTCAGGCCCGGGTTCGATTCCCTACATTGTACCAAGCTCAATCCCGGTGTCTCCCACCGTGTTATTGCCTGAGTACTGCTAAAAGAAGCGTAAAAGTATAACTACTTTTAGATTACAGAAGTTTACATAATCCAATGGTGCACATCTGGATGAAGATGGTGCACATCTGTCCAAACGTAACACGACCTGGGGCTCTTTTAACAAAGCAATATCAACGCTACCAATATCATACGCCTTCAAACTACGGCGTTACCATTATAACGCTGCGATCGATATCTGAAAGGAGGCCTGATTCACTTAGTAACGATCGTGCCAAGTTGGGATCAAATATTGTCAATATCATACTGTCCAATATTTATGTAACTAATGGTGAGATAAAGCAGGTACTTATCACTATGACATGCCTGTCACCAGATATTAGAATTATTACGGTAACAGCATATTGACCTTTCCTTGTAACATTCAGGGAGGAAATGAGGAACATCCAAATGTCAATAAGTAGTCCTGCTGACTCTCACACTCCCCGCTATCCATGCCAAGAGAGTGAAAACAAGCTTATGTTGTCATAGCAGTCTGTGGCCCTGGAACATAGGAATTGGTGATAGCGGCAAATATTGATTATGTGACACAGTAAGTTAGGATAAGAGATACTGTAGGGTTTCGTAGACTGTATATGATGGGAGTAACTCATGAGTGCCGCAAACTGTGTTTTAGAATAAATACAATTTCTTCTTAAGGCTGTTTCAAAATTAACGAGGGCGGTGGGATAGCCGTGTGGTTCAAGCGTTCGAAGACCCGGGTTCGATTCCGGGTTCGGGTGCAATGTGTGAAGCCCATTTTTGGTGTCCCCCGCCGTGATATTGCTGGAATATTGCTAAAAGCGGCGTAAAACCCAACTCACTCACTTAAAAATTAACGCAAAGTAATAATGATAACAATCACTGTGTAATACTATACGTCGGTTCAAAAGAACAATGTGTTTTGACTATTCTCACAAATGTATTAATTTTGGTTTGAAGGACACACTTGATGTGAAAATCATATTAACCTAAAATCAGTGATGACACCAGGTGTTTCACACTTATGAGCATATTGAGTAGGTAGAAAATAGAGTATCGTGTTTTATTGCTGAAGCACGAGTTAAAATAAGTTACCTGTATACAGGAAAACCATGACTATACATATACAGTATATCATCCTAAAGTACGGATTACGATAATTTGCATATTTTGTTGCGTGCGGGCAAGCTATAAACCTGTGGCTGTTGGTTCCAAAGCCAAGGGCCCGATTATCTTTCTAGCCTTGTCAGCACCATCCTCGAAGGTTTCACCAAAGTGGTATGCGTCTCTGATCGTCATCACTTCGGGATTTTCTCCCACGTCAACCAGACACGATATAACTGAAATACTGTTCAAGGCGGCGTTAAAGTCAACTCACCCACTCACTCTATTCCACATGTCATTGGTACTGTTTAGATGTATTAAACTCATTTTATATTTTGTATGTAGTGTTACCTGTATTTACATATGTACATGCTTCTTTTACTTTAAGGCTCTACTCACCCAATACTCCTAAATATTTATCATTATATTTAATTTGAAGTATCAGTAAAAGCGTGCCTAGCTGGATAACATTTTGTATTTGCCTCTTTGTCAACAATACGTCAATTTTACCCTGAATATACCGTCACACAATATACTTTGTGGTAACTGTGTCAAATATTTTCCTAGCATTATATTAAGTTCAATAATGTGTAGTCATAAGGGATTTCATATCTGTATTTGATAAACAACATTGTGTTGTACTGACAAAAGAATCCTGATATATTTTGACATTTAACATTGATGGCTATCCTGCTGCGTGGGTACTTCATGGCCTGTTAAAAATGTGTATAACATGCTAGCGATCCAGACTTTGAATTGTTCATATTCTCTTTATACACTCAGATGGTTATTGTTGATTGTAAATAATTTTTATTGTACAATGTCTTTCAGAAATAAATGTATGACTTTACATGTTATCATTTGTGATTTTTCCATTCAGAAGGACTGGATTTTCTGGTTGTTATCATTGTGGTAACAACCTTAGGGAATAATTTACTAATCGGAAAGTTATTGAGAATTTTAAATTATCGGGTCATTAATTAAATTTTGCGAGAAGGAGAATAGCCACAGACACATACGGCACACACAGACATATAGGTACATTACAAACACAGACACAATCGGCAGAAAGACATACACGTACACACAGACACAGAAACACACATGCACGCACATAAACAGACACAATTGTCACACACACAGACATACACGTACACAGAGACAAAAACACATGCACAAACATAGACACAGATACAGACAGACATACACAGTCGGCACGCACACATACACTTACACACAGACACAGACACACAAATGCACAAACATACCCACACAGATACACACAGTCACAATCGGCACAAAAGACATACACACAGACACAAACAATAGACACACAGATATACACATACACACGGATATACACATACACACACACAGAAACACACATACACACATACACCTACAGATACACGCATATCCATACACATCCACAGACGCACACACAGACATGTACATTGCTATACACATCCACAGACGCACACACAGACATGTACATTGATATACATATCCACAGACGCACACACAGACATTTACATTGCTATACACATCCACAGACGCACAAACAGACATGTACATTGCTATACACATCCACAGACGCATACACAGACATGTGCATTGCTATACACATCCACAGACGCAGACACAGACATGTACATTGCTATACACATCCACAGACGCACAAACAGACATGTACATTGCTATACACATTCACAGACGCATACACAGACATGTACATTGCTATACACATCCACAGACGCACACACAGACATGTACATTGCTATACACATCCACAGACGCACACACAGACATGTACATTGCTATACACATCCACAGACGCACACACAGACATGTACATTGCTATACACATTCACAGACGCCCACACAGACATTTACATTGATATACACATCCACAGACGCACACACAGACATGTACATTGCTATACACATCCACAGACGCACAAACAGACATGTACATTGCTATACACATTCACAGACGCACACACAGAGATTTACATTGATATACACATCCACAGACGCACACACAGACATGTACATTGATATACATATCCACAGACGCGCACACAGACATGTACATTGCTATACACATCCACAGACGCACACACAGACATGTATATTGCTATACACATTCACAGACGCACACACAGACATTTACATTGATATACACATCCACAGACGCACACACAGACATGTACATTGATATACACATCCACAGACGCGCACACAGACATGTACATTGCTATACACATTCACAGACGCACACACAGACATGTACATTGCTATACACATCCACAGACGCACACACACCAGACATGTACATTTGCTATACACATCCACAGACGCACACACAGACATTTACATTGATATACACATCCACAGACGCACACACAGACATGTACATTGCTATACACATCCACAGACGCACACACAGAGATTTACATTGATATACATATCCACAGACGCACACACAGACATTTACATTGCTATACACATCCACAGACGCACACACAGACATGTACATTGCTATACACATCCACAGACGCACAAACAGACATGTACATTGCTATACACATCCACAGACGCACACACAGACATGTACATTGCTATACACATCCACAGACGCACACACAGAGATTTACATTGCTATACACATCCACAGACGCACACACAGACATGTATATTGATTTTGGTATTGTCAAATATTACCTCAGATATCCAAAGTGGACACATGTATTATCTACAAACCTAGCCTTACCTAAAGGTATTGGCTTCTTAGGATTTGCATTTGGTAACCTTACAGAGATAGCCACTGCATAGTTTACATCAATATCCCTCTCATAAGCCTCCACGCATAACAGGAGATGATGCAGTCATGTACATATATCATGTCATACAGGGCATGCTCTGTGCATGTGATTTGGTTGGTTGGTTGGTTTGTTGCTTGACCATAACAAAGATTGGATTTGGTTGGTTGTTTTACGCCGCACTCAACAATAGTTATGCTTATATGGCGGCCGTCTGTGCCGCGTTGTTCTGTATATGGCGGCCGTGGGGGTGTGCCGTGGGTGTGTGTGATGTGAGATGGAGAGTGTGTATGTGTGGAATGTGTGTGGGTGCTTACGCGTGAACGTGACTTTGTGAAGAAACCTCAAAACAGATAAAATAAAAACACTGAATTGCATGTATTCATGTTCGTGTCTTCTTTAAATGGGTTCAACTATTGCGTACAAGACAAATTAATTACCATGCGCAGTGGAACAAGAAGACATCCAATTACACAGTGATTCTACAAACATTTATGACACAGATTAAACATAGTTATCGAGACACACTTACTTATCAGCATTTACCAAGGACACTTCTCATATTCCGAGAAACACTAAACTGATTACTTTCAGTGTTTATATTACAGGTAAACATCGGTTATCACGTAGTTTTCCAGACTCATCTGGAAAGTAGTAAGCGCCGTCAGCTAATCATATTTCGATATACAAGGCCATTTATAAACTCGGTTTTTTCTAGTTCCTTGCTGACGAAATATAGGATTTGGGATACAAAGCAACACACTCGTACTTTTAAGTCGTAAGATGGACTCTGGTTTCTGCAAACATTTCTTACAAAACCTCTTTTGTGTTGTCACAACTCCTAGCGTACAGTACACAACCCTGTACACTTCAAAGAACCCACGAATCCGTTGGTAACTGAACCAGATGGTGGCCATATGAATACGTGCAAACACCTAGTTGCGGGTACAGCCACGCGCAGTAAAACTTGGACAAAGTACTGTGACTATGTGTCCCAGTCCACCCAGCTGTGGATGGGTACCTCGTAAGGATTGAAAAGCAACATTAACTTGGTGCACCTAGCGGCTGCACGGATTGTATGTTCCCCAGGGAGTTGACATTGAAAAGTATGATGTGCCGTTGAGATTGACATCCAATGATCAAAGGAGAAACAAAGCGCTTTCAGCATGCATGTAGATGGGGTGGACTATAGTGCTACATAAATGCCCATATATAATATACATGATATATTGTTTGATCGGCATTCTAGAAGTTGGCGAGTCAAAAATGAAACATACAACGTACGGATGACAACTTCGTGAAGTCCCTCCCGACCCGTTGACACCCGCATAAAAGAACATAAAACCTAAACTGCCAGGGCAGACAGAAAATCAGCCCTCCAACATCTCCAAAATCAGATCTCTAACAAATATTCACTATCCACCTATTCCATTTTTACAAAGTTGAAATCTTATCCACCAAGAATCGGGAATTCACGAAAAGAAAACTTTTGGAAGCCTTGATCAACAGAGACCAAGGGAACTACTCACATGTACTATCGGCCTAGGAAGAATGAGTCAAGCTATATCCTCTGTTAAAGGACCCTATCAGCTTGTTTTTACCACTACTTAATGACAAGCGAATCGCAATATTCCTATAACAACTGATTACAAGCACTCATAGTAAAAACCTGAATAGTTATTTTTTGTTAGGTCTGTTTTACACACAAAAGACCTGCGGGAAAAACGGGTAAACATATAGGCCCTGTGGCTGTCGATGAGGTGATCAAATGGATTCGGTGGTTGGGCTCGGTGATGTA